ATATATATATATATATATATATATATATATATATATATAGCCTACGCGCATTGTTTAGCATGTGACACTTTATTTTAATAATAACATGATCCCACCAGTCATCATGAATTATTGTGAAGTGTGACTTCTTTTATGAGTCACATACATTTTGATTTCTGAATTCATTACATATAATTCTCTTTTCATGACCAATGGTTTTTCTTTATCCTTGTATTACTTGTACCTTTTCTTTCTTCATAATTTTTGTTATACACCTTAATTAACAAACCAATCTACTATCTATCAAAGAAATTAATTTTCACATAATAATTTTAATCATAGTTTTAAAAAAAGGACCGGACCAGCCGGTTCGGACCGGGAACTGGTGAACCGGGAGCCAAACCAGTGACCAGTTTTTTTGTGCACGAATTTCTCAAAAATTGTTACTAATGGAGGGGTTTCGTACACACAACCTATTGTTCCCTTGTTAGGCTATTTACCATCCATGCTACAATCCCTTTTGTTACATATAGACATTATTAGTTATATATATCATTCTTAAAAATATACAAGTATAAATTACTAGTTATATATTACATTCCTAAAATATTGATGCAATTAATTCTAATATGAACTTCATATCACAAAACTATTAACTCATTTAAATATTTTAAAAATATTGTGTAAATTATAAAACAAAAAATATCACCTCTTACTTTATAATTTTTTATTTGTTTAAATATCCATTTGTTTCGATTTAATGCTACTGCTCAAATAATTAAATTGCTCATAAATTTATTAATACATCATAAATTCTTTATTTATAGATAAAGAAAGTATTATTTCAATAAATATTATTTTTCATGTGTGTGTAAATTATATATATATATATATATATATATATATATATATATATATATATATATTGAATTTTCAAATATGCGTGAACCACTGGTTCGACCACTGAACTACTGGTCTGACCAATGAACCAGTGAACCAGTACCTTGACCGATTCGATCCCCGGTCCGGTTCTGAAAACTATGAGTTTAATAGTCAAATTTTGTGTAATTAAGTTTATGACATATATTCTCGAATTAAAATTAAAATATTTAAATATAATTTTTTAAAAAAAGTTTGTCATTTTGATTAATTATATAAAAAGTTATGTAAATAAAGTTTTTTTGGTAGAATATATTTACAAAACATCAAATACACTTTGTAAAAAATATTTTTTTGTCAATTTAATAACTTTTTATTAGTTAAGTGTTATAAAAATTAAGTTTATGACATATATTTTATTATCAAAATTAAAATAGATAAATCTAATTTATTTTTTAAAAATAAATCATTTTGATTAATTATATAAAAAATTATGTAGATAAAGTTTGTCTAGTACTATATATTTAGAAAAGTACACTTGGTAAAATATTAATTTAAGGAATTTTGTTAGTCAAGTTTTATAAAGTTAAGTTAATGACATATATTTGATTATTAAAATTAAAATATATTAATCTATTTTTTTATGGGAAGTAAGGTCATGTTCTCTTCAACTAATTTGAATGATTCTAATCTGATTGGAATAAGTTCTCATCTGATCTGAATGTAGTTATATTTAAAACTATTTTTGATATGATCTATATCAATAAGAAAAAAAATAAAAAGAATAAATTGAAGAGATCATGATCTAAGACCTACCATCTAAGAAAATAAATTCTATAATTAGTCTTTTATAATAAGTGATTTTCCTTATTTAGTCCTCTGTTATCAAATATTACTAGATGATTCTTCTTTTATAAGTATCTTTTTACAAATAGTTCTTTTTTAATATTCTATCATGTTGATGTTAATTTGAAGGCTAAATATGTAATTTACAATTATGATAAATCATTCTTGTCATACACAATCACATTGGTCGCTCTTTGATGCATGTGAATTACAGTCGCTTTTTACTACAATCATAGTCTACAGTTGTGGTGTTCTGTCAGAATCAGAATCCTAATCGACAATCATAGTCATTATTGTTGTGTTGTCAATCTAACTGACATCAGAATACGTCATTGAACATAAGGTGAATGCCAAATTACACTTTTAGCTCTTAATTTAACACTATATTTTTTGTGCAGGTTGAGCCGGAGGTCTATTGGAAACAGCCTCCCTACTTCCGAGTAGGGGCAAGGTCTGCGTACACACACCCTCCCCAGACCCTGCTGTAGTGGGATTCAACTGGGTTGTTGTTGTTGTAATTTAACACCAACTTGACAGAAGATAAAAAAGACTATTTATGGAAAGATATTCATAAAAGAATGATAATGAGAGTAACATTTGATAAAAGAAGACCAAATATGAAAAGATCTATTATATTAAAGAATCAATTATGAAATTTACTCATCTAAAAAAGAGAATGAACGAAGAAGGAAAACATTAAAGTGGTGAAGCCATTATTAAAGAGGAAAGTGATCTGTCAAATTGGGGAGGAAGGGCTAAGGTCATGTTCGTGTTCTGATTGGAATAAGTTCATGTCTCGTCTCATTTGATTTAATTTTATTTTAATGAAAATAAATAATAAGTTAAAAAAAGGGGAGAACTCCCTCTTATGGTTCTACTAGTTGAACCAGCACCTGACCCTGCACCACGGGAAAAAAACCAGACAGTTTCTTCCGGGGTCTAAGACAGCACGGGAAAAGAATCTGTAGCAGCGGAAGGAGGAAACGGAGTAAGGAGGAAGAAAGAATGAGTGGGCCGCAGCCGTACCACCAGCCGACCACACACGAGGAAGTCCGAACCCTTTGGATAGGAGACTTGCCCTATTGGGCTGAAGAGCCTTATCTCCAAAGCTGGTTCGCCGATACCGGCGAGGTCATTACTTTTGTTTTTCTCTCAAGAAAGTGATTTTTTATGCTTAAACCGTTCTAATTTTTTTGTCAATTGTACAATATCTTGCATTGTTTCCACCTCCAGTTTTTTTTTTAAAGCTCCTAGACTAGAAATTAGCGCTAATACTTCATATTCAGTTCCTCAATGTTATGCTGTCTGCTCTTCAAATTGATGCTGTTCACTACTCATCCATCCCAAAATTAGCTTCCCACTCTGGGGTTGTCCCAAAATCAACTTTTTTTTAAAACAAAATAAAATTTATATAATTAGGATCTACGTCAAGAGTTCTACAAGAGTTGACATGACTATGTTATTTTATCAAATGCGTAATGAAAATAGGAAAAGAACGTGGATAATGTTTGACCCGAATAGTAATTGAGAGGATTATATTGGGATGAAGGGAGTATTTACCATCTCTCACTTCACTTCCACCAAATCCAAAATAAGTAGGAATGGACATTTATACTTCTTCCGTCCCATAAAACTTTTCAAAGACGAAAAAAAGGCACACCCTAAAAATGTATAATTTTGATATTATTTTTTCTAATTTTACCCTTACTTACAATAAGGTAAGATATGATGTGTAGGATAGATGAGTCATAATTAGAAAATAGTATCAAAATTACTCATTTTTAGGGTACGCCTTTTTTTGTCATGGAAAAGTTTTATGGGAAGGGGGAAGTATAATTTTCTTTAGACTCTTAATCTTTGTGTAATTTTCACACGAGAAGATAATTTGGGTCGGAGGGAGTATTAATTTACAAATTACAGTCCATTGGTCTAAGATCCAGAACAAGGCTATTCTGGTGCTTGTGGAGGATAAGCTGCAAGAAGTTAAAATGAGGTTGTTTGGCCACATTAGGAGAAGTACATAGCCTCCTTGAGGAGATGCCAGAGGCTGGCGATATAGGATGTGGCGAGGGGTAGATGTAGACCTACAAAGAATTGGATGAAAGTGATTAAACAAGACCTACGACTTGAGGATCTTACCGAAGATATGACCTTAGATAGGAACCCCCGGAGATCTAGGATTAAGGTAGTTGGTTAGACATGATGACCTTAGATAGGGCCTTATTTTGCTGTGTGTGCTTTTTGTGCTATATCTCTAGTTCTTAGAGTCAGCTTGTGTGCTTCTTTTATCATTGTTCATACTTTGTTCATGTTTCAAATTTTCAATCGTTTCTTTGTTCGTACTTCTGTTTCTGAGCCAGGGGTCTCTTGGAAACATCCTTTCTACTTCATAGTAGGCGTAAGGTGCAGACACGCTCCCCAGTTTATTTTTGTGGGATTTTACTGGTTTGTTGTTGTTGCTATTTTTGGTCTTAGTGGCATATTTGTGAAAACTGATCATGTATTTATGTAGAAATATGAAAAGGAGAGAATGGTTACAACATCTGCATTCAAAGGAAACAAAAAAACTATATATCTCCTTGAAAGTCTAGAAAAAGTAACAAAGCATATATGCTAAATCAACCAGAATATTTAAAGTAGATATGTTAAATGAATCAGGATTAATTAGCGTTCTAATTGGTACTATTAGTCCACCGGTCAAGATTGAGATCTTTCAACACTACCTCTCAAGGCTCAATCTTGGGTGTAGATGTTGGACAAACCTAGCTTGGACTTGAGTTCATCACAAGATTTTCATGGCAAGGCTTTGGTTAGTATGTCAGTCGTCTTTTGACCTGATAAAATATAGATGAGCGATAATTTCTTGACTCTGCGTTTTCCTTGATGAAACATGTGTCAATATCAATATGTTTTGTTCTATCATGAAAAACATGATTCTTTGCCATGCTGATAGTTGATTGATTATCACAGAAGGTGCTTATAGGTTCTGTTAAGTTCAGCTTTAGCACTACTTACACAATGTTTGGTTTAAGGAATTCAAAAGGGAAAAAAAAAGAAAATGAAGTGGAAAACAAATTTTCTTGTTTGGTTAGAAAGAAAAAGTGGAAGGAAAAGAAAATAAGAAGGCAAAATGTACCAAGTGAAGGGAAAACCAAATTCCTCCCATTTTGGTGAGGAAAATGAGAGAAAATCATTTTCTTTTCTTTTCCTTCAAAATTCCTTGAACCAAACATAGTGTTAAGGACAATGCTGACTGATTTTGTCTTCAACAAGTAACTAAGTTTCTCCAGCAAAGGTGCAATGACCTGAAGTTGAGTGCCTGTCTTTTATTGAAGCAGATGTCCTTTTGAAGAATAATCATTGCCATGATGTCACTTTATGATACCTCATACCTCAAAATACTGTATACTGCTTCAATGTGCTCTTGCGTAGTATTATGCATGAATTGACTTACAGCACTCACTGCAAAACGGATGTCAGGTCTTGTGTATGAATTTAACTGAGTTTACCAACAAGCCTTTGGCATCTTCTTCTGTCAACATGAACTTTGTCTTTCTTGATCCAAATATTATGTAGGTTGACTAAGATCCATAGGAGTGTCTGCTGGCTTGCATTCCATCATTCAAGTTTCTTTTAACAAGTCCAAAATATATTTTCTTAGAGAGCTCGATATTCCAGTTGTGGATCTTGCCACTTCCATCTCAAGGAAGTATTTGAGATTACCCAGATATTTGATTTCAAATTCCTTAGTTAGGAGTTTCTTCAATCTGAGTGTTTCCTCATTGTGACAATGATATCATTTACATAAACAATAATGATTGTTCTTTTTCCTGAGCGGGAAATCTTGACAAACAAAGAGAAAGTGTGATCTGCTAGACACCGGACATACCCATTTTTTGATAACACTTCAGTGAACCTGTCAAACCAAACCTTTGGTGATTGTTTGATCCATACGATGCCTTTGAGTTTGCAAACTTTGTTATTGGTGGCTGATGTATGAAATCCAGGAGGTACTTCACATTAAGTTGGTGGAGTTGCCAATCCAAATTTGCTGCAAGTGAGAGCATTACTAGGATAGAATTAATTTTGGCCACTGGAGCAAATGTGTCTTCGTATTCAATTCTGTATGATTGGGTGAATCCTTTGGCTACAAGTCTAGGTTTATATTTATTAAAACTTCCATCTGACCATCTGCATTCATTTTGAATGTGAAGATCCACTTGCATCCAACTGTATTGCGCTTCTTTGGCTGTTAAGTTCTCCTTCGCCATTCTTTTTCAAGGCATGCATTTATTCTAGAACTGCTGCCTTCCATTTTGGAATTTGAAGAGCTTCATATATTGAGTTTGGCACCAGAATTTTATCAAAACAACCAAAAAATGTACAGTGTTTTCTTGTTCTGCAATCCCATTTAGTTGACTTGTATCAACACATGAACTATACCCTGTTATGCCAAATAGGTTCCTAGGGTGGATTCAAAATACTCTTTCGCATTGTTAGTTTTCAACACTTGATTTCTGGTTTGGAATTGATTTTGTTTCAAAGAGTTAAACTATTCGAATCTGTTGCCAACATCATATTTTTGTTCATGAGGAACAACTAGACCTGGCAAAACTGACCCGGACCCGATAACCCGAACCGAATAACCCGAATTGACCCAAAAACTGAAGAACCAAAATAGAACCGAACACCCGAAATGATCCGAACCAAACCGAAACCAAACCAAATGTATTCAGACCCGATTTAGATCCGAATCCGACTTAACCCGAACGGATTAAACCCGAAACAGATTAAACCCGGAACCGGTCCCGAAACCGATTAGACCCGAAATTGATCAAATTTATTAATATTTCATTTATCAAAAGAACTTGGAGAAACATAATTACCGATATATTTTTACATATGTTGATGTGTTTCTAAAAAACATACTCCGTAATAAAATAACTACGAAGCATAACATAAATTGACTAAATTTATTATGCGATACTATTGATTTATTAGTATATATTTAAAATATACATGAAATAATATAAACCTAAACTGATACAAACCCGAATCGGGACGAACTGGATTCACTGAGCAGGATTGCGGGACGAACTGGAGTCTCTTGCTGGTGGCGGTGTTGTCACATGTGCGTTGGGGAGGACAAAATCTGGATGGGAGAGATACAGCTCCAGCGGAATCTGTTGTGGAGGCTTGTGGGCTACGTCGTGGAGATTTTTTGGCAAGGAGTCGCTATGATGAGCCTGGCCTTGTGGCGGTTTCAGATTTTGACGAAACTCTCTAGAAGTTTTTCTGGAAGAAAGTCACTAGAGGTTTAGCAGCTCAAATGGCAAGAAAAAGTGGCGATCTCGATTCTCTCCGGAGAGGGAAAAGGGTTCACTGCTCTGAGACCATGTAGAAACTTAAAATGGAGAGTTTTTTTTTCTTATTTTTCTTCCTTCACAATGGTTACAACATGTGAGTTTAAAGGAAACCAAGAAACTGCAGATCTCCTCAAAAGTCAAAAGAAAATATTCAAAGTAGATATGCTAAATCAATTAAAATAGGGATCTTATGGAAACAACCTTTCTACTTCCAAGTAGGGGGGGGGGGGGGTAAGGTCTGCCTACACTCACATTCCACAGACCCTATGTTTTGTGGGATACTGGGATTCAAGTTGGTTTGTTGTTGTTGTTGTTGTTGTATGTTAAATCAATCAGGATTAATTAGTCTTCTAATTGGCCCTATTAGTCAATCAATTAATATTGAAATCTTTCAACATTTTCTAAATGAATCTTTGTGATTGATGTAGGTTCTTTCAATTAAAGTAATTCGAAATAGGGGCACCGGACAGCCTGAGGGTTATGGTTTTGTGGAGTTCACCTCACATGCTGTAGCTGAGCATGTTTTACAGTCTTACAATGGAACACAAATTCCAAACACCCAATTGACTTTTAGGTTAAATTGGGCATCATCTGGTATTGGGGAACGGCGTGATACTGGTCCCGAGCATTCCATCTTTGTAGGTGATTTAGCTCCAGATGTTACGGACAACTTATTGCAAGATACATTCCGTGCTCATTATGCATCTGTGAGAGGAGCTAAGGTTGTCACTGATCCAAACACTGGACGATCCAAGGNCTCTGCTTCTTAAAGATTAAAATATCAATTTTATAAATAAAGGATCAATTATAAACATATTTGATCCTTTTCTATAAGAATACTCTTAAATGAGAATATATCATTATCAAAATTTTGTTTTTTGTGTATGCACTTAGTTAAAAATTTGATTCATAAAAAATGCTAGTCTTGAAATGGTAAGTGATAATACCAATTTTATATTTTCACTAATTGTTTGCTACATCAAAATAATTTTTATCATAAAATTATATTTTATATAATTGTTTTCCTTTAAAAATTTTATTTTGGACAATACTACATTTATCTTTCACAAATTTGATTTTATAACATAATTAATTTTATCACATCACAACAAATAAATAGATGAATTGCTTTTTAAAAATAAAAAATATAAATACTCAACTAATGTCACGAAGTAATGAATTCTTTATTTGTATTAAATCTTTTAACGTAAAATTTTTCCAAAATTTGAAATCATTATTAAATTTCTATTTTAAAATAAAAAAAGGTCAATTCATCATTAATAAAATTTGCCACATAAGCAACCAATAAAGATTAAAGACTTGCCATCTCACCTTAATATAGCCCACATAAGCTTGTCTTTTGGCGACTTTCTAGCAAACGGAGTCTCAAATATTATATTAAAAGATTATATTTTTTATAACTAAAAAGAAATTTTTATACAATTCTTTTTTAATTATGAAACATTATAAAAGCTTAAGTGAGATCGTAACAAAAAGCACCCTAGCTTGGATGGTTAGGAATTCAACTAAATGACCAAGAGATCCTTGTTTCAAACCCCATGGTGGGCTTTTGGAAAAAAATTGCAAAAAAAGAACTGGTCTAACCGGTCAAACCGATCGATTTGTCTAAAAGGGTGACATATCAGCTCGCCACATGTCGCGCTTTAACTTTGCCAAATGTCGCCACATCAGCTCGCCACATATCGCGCTTTAGCTCTGCCAAAAGTCACGTTCTTATAGCTCCGACTCTGCTTTATATATATAAATAAAGGATGTATGTATATATCATAGTTTTGAGAACCGGACCGGTGACCGAACCGGTAACCGGTCAAGGTACTGGTTCACTGGTTCACTGGTCGAACCGGTGGTTTAAACATATTTAAAAATTATATAAATATAAATAAATAAATAAATAAATATATATATATAGACATTCCCATATATAAATACATAAAGAAAGTAATTTATAATATTTGACTAAAATTATATTAATATACTTGAGTTATTTTACTAAATTAAATGATAAAATTTACATATTGAAAAATAATACTCCCCTCGTCCCTAAATAAACTTCCTCTTTCGTTTTTTCTTTGTCCCAAATAAACTTCTCTTTTCCCTTAAAAAATCCCTTACTTTTTTCATACCCTACCTATCACATCATATTTTTTTACTAATAATCTACATATCACATCTTACTTTTACACATCACATCAAGGGTATTTTTGGAAAGTCAACATCAAAATAACCCTCCCTTAATTTCCCAAAAAGTCAAAAACGGAAGTTTATTTAGGGACGGAGGGAGTATTAAAATTTTATATAAAAAAATATCAATGATTTTGTGTTTGACTCATATCTATATAATATACTACGTATTATATTTTTAAAATTGAAAAGTTATTTGTATGCAATCTATTTATTAATTATGAAATACTACGTATTATAAAACATTATACGATTTTGTAACAACAATCACTATTAGTTGGATGGTTTGAAACTCAACCAAATAGCTAAGAGGTCTTGGGTTCAAACCCCCATGGAGTGAAGTTTTGGAAAAAGATTGCAAAAAAAAAAAAAAAAAAATTGGTTGGACCGGTCCGACCGGCCGGTTCTTACCGGTTTACCCCCATGGAGTGAAGTTTTGGAAAAAGATTGCAAAAAAAAAAAAAAAAAAATTGGTTGGACCGGTCCGACCGGCCGGTTCTTACCGGTTTAAACCGGTTCGGACCGGTTCGAAGCTCGTTACGGTCCAACGGGCCGGACTGGACCGGTTGGACCACCGGTTCGCCGGTTCACGGTCCAAACCGGCCGGTCCGGTCCGGTTTTTAAAACTATGGTATATGTATGTATGTGTATATATATATATATATATATATATATATATNCCAATTGACTTTTAGGTTAAATTGGGCATCATCTGGTATTGGGGAACGGCGTGATACTGGTCCCGAGCATTCCATCTTTGTAGGTGATTTAGCTCCAGATGTTACGGACAACTTATTGCAAGATACATTCCGTGCTCATTATGCATCTGTGAGAGGAGCTAAGGTTGTCACTGATCCAAACACTGGACGATCCAAGGGGTATGGTTTTGTTAAATTTGCTGACGAGGCAGAAAGAAACCGTGCCATGAGTGAGATGAATGGCGCCTATTGCTCTAGTAGGCCAATGCGCATAAGTGCGGCAACACCAAAAAAAACCAGCGGCCTTCCACAGCCTTATGCCATAGCCAAGGGTAACATTCTATCTATCTATATATCTATCATGTTGTATTTTCATGATTTACCCTGTGTCTCGGAACGGCTTAGTAATACCCTGATGACCCTTTTTAATGCTTTTCTTTGCTTTATTTTTGTTTGTTTTAGGCTAATGTCATTTACCTTCTTGACGACTGGATGTTTTTTTATGGATCAAGCATGATTTTGTTTATTACTTTTTTCAGTAGAAGGTGTGAAGCCAATGAATCGCATTGATAGTTCAATATGAAACCAGTGTTTCGTATAATCATTTTTCCATCATCTTCAATGGAGCCAAAGATTCCCTATTTTGGCTTTGGGGTATTGAAATTAAGCAAAATGAATCTTGAAATTGTCTGCGCTTCTTTAATAGTGAAGTAACAATTAGTCAATGCAATGTTAGATGCTCATCATGGGTCATCTAGAAACAGCCGTTCTATCCTTTAAAAATAGGTGTCAGGTTGCGTACATCCAACCTCCCTTACCCCGCAATGGGTGGGACTGTGGGAGCCTTTGAGGCATTGGCGTAATATTGTTGTTGTTTTTCTTACAATTATATCAATAATTTTTTGCAGTTTTTTATTAATAAGCCTTCTGTGAAACTTCTGTTAAATGCCTAATGAATTTCCATTCCATGCAGAATCAGTATTATTTTTTTTGTTTTTCTTTTGGGGTTTGGGGGGCATTTCATACAGTTTTAATAATCTGAATGGGAATGGACATGCAAAATTGAGGAATGGATTATGAATATGGGTCTAGCACCTTTTTTGGGTGTGTATGGTACTCCATTAATTCTATTTTATGTGTCTGGCTTTATTAGCAAGACAAAAATCTACTTACGATTTTTCTATTTTATAAATATTTTGCAGCAGTATATCCAACTGCAGTCTATCCTACTGTGATACCAACAGTTCCTGAAAGTGACATCAATAACACTACTGTGAGTTGCAAGCTTCATATGTTTGTGACTTTCATGCTTTTCTACCCTAGTAATCTCATTTGTTCCTTCTGGATTGCAGGTTTTTGTTGGCAATCTGGACCCTAATGTTACAGAGGAGGAACTGCGACAAATTTTTTCGCAACTTGGGGAGATTATTTATGTCAAGATTGTTGCTTCTAAAGCATGTGCTTTCGTACAGTTTGCTGCAAGGTCTGTTCTTACCAGGGCGACGGTTGAAAAGACCATTTTGGTCACTTGATTAGTATTCTTTCTTTAGCCCATATACAGTAGTTTTTATGCAAAAAAGCTTGTGGATGTAGGGCATCTGCTGAGGAAGCAATTCAGAGGATGAGTGGAACTATGATTGGTCAACAAATAGTTCGTGTGTATTGGGGTAGGAGCCCAGCTGCTAAACAGGTGACTGACTATTTGAGATTATTTGGTCCACCAATAGAGGTTTTTTTCTGTCTGTTTTCTTTCCAAATATTGACTATTTGATCATCTATACCTTTAGGACTCTGGTCAATGGGGTCAGGTAGCTGATGCAAGCCAATGGAGTGCTTATTATGGCTATGGACAGGGATATGATGCATATGCGTATGGAGCCACTCAAGATGCCTCCATGTATGCATATAGTGCTTATCCTGGCTACACCCAATACCCTCAACAGGTAAAAATATTATTTCAGACTTTGGCGGTCATCATTTCACCTGTCTCAGATGATGAAGGGATCATGAGAGGAGGATTGGAAATTGGATTTATTATTCCTATGCTTAAAATGCAAAAAAGGAAAGAAGAAAATGGTGATAGTTACTTGAAACCCTAAGCCTCCGTTTGGATCAAGAATTCAAGAGAAAATGGAAGGAAATAAAATAGGAGAAGAGAAAAAACACACGAAATGAGGCATTTTCTCTTGTTTGTTTTGCAAAGAAAATGGGGAGGGAACGAATATTGGTTGTGGGCCCCATAAAAAATCCCTCCTACACTGAAGTTAAAACGGCGGCTCCTCTCCCACCACTAATCTCCTCATGGCCGACTTCTTCTCCCATCTATTTTTTCCCTTCATTTTCGAGCCATCCAAACATTAGTGGTTTTTTCTTCTTTTTCTCTCATCATCCAAACAATGCATAAACGTTGTAAAATGTTTATGATGTAGAGTGAAGGAGCTCAAGATATGGCACTCACTGCCCCGGCTATGGACCAAAAGGAAGAAAGACACGACCCCTTGGCCACACCTGATGTTGACAGGTAAACCTGCCCTCCCTTTTCACATTCTCAGTAAATGCACATTTCACCACATACTGTAAGATGTGTCTATTTTATAATGAAAATGGGTAAATTTTATGACTTCACTTGTCCAAAAAAAGAAGAAGAAATGATATATACCAAGAGTGTTACAATTTTGAGTTTTTGTTTTGATAGGTTAAATGCTTCTTACCTTGCCGTTCATGCAAGTGCCATCTTAGGCAGGACAATGTGGCAAAAGGCATAATAATAATCCCTTCCGATCTAAATCATACCTCGTAGTGATTCAATATGGTTTAATTTTTGTAATGACACTCTCAAAGGGATAAATGAAACCTAGTCCAGCATTTTACATGCTACTTCCATGCCTGGTGGTTCTCCAGTGAAATGCTATGTTCCCAACAATGCATACATATCTTTGTTAGTTGTATGGCTTTTCCTTATTGATTTTGCAGCTCTTCTGAATAAAGAGCTGTTTGTATCTCTTATCATGCAGATCCTAAAAACCCCTGGTGCCCATTTGTTTAGACCTACTAATTTTGGTTTACCATCTTGATCTGTGACATCACTTCACTCTATTCTTAAAAGCAGGGGAATTATTTTCCCGCCCAATGCACTCATCTCCTGCACCGTCGATATCAAGGAACAAACAAGACCTACGGCTATGATTGGTTGTGTAATATTACCTATTTAGAATGATAAATTTAAGGAAATTTTGCATGCATAATCACTCTATTGTGATAAAAAAAGAAGGGAGTAATTTGTTTCCTAACCAATTTCACCTAATTACTTGATTGTGATAAAAAAGGAAGGAACAGTGCAGGAGATTTTATATATTTTGTTTATTTTTTAAATAGGTAATTATTTACGCCTAATTATTACTATTATTATTATAATTACTTGGAATAATTTATGTTTGATTATTTTATCAAAAAGTAATTATTTATGCCTAATTAAATAGGTAATTATTTACTTAATCACTCTATTCTTAAAAGGAAATACTTTTAAGAATAATAGAATGATAAATTAAAGGAAATTTTGCATGCATAATTACTTAATTTCTGATAAAAAAGGAATGGACTAATTTCGCAAACAAGATCTACGTTGTTTCCTTTTTAGAATAATTTCGCATGCATAATTACTTAATTACTTTATTCTTATTTAGAATGATAAATTAAAGGAATTTTTGCATGCCTAATATATTTCTTAAAAGGAAACAAAATATAAAAAATATTATTTATATAAACTTCTTTTCTAATACCGAACTTTTTTATGAAATTGGAATTGATATAATAAAAAAATGATTACCATTCAACTAAAAATAATATTTGTCCATAAAAGGTAATAATCACGTTAAGGTGTAAATTTTTTAATCAATGCATTAAATTTATAGCTTCGTAATTTAGATAGTTTCCAATTAAGAAACAAACCATTTTAATCATACAAACCATTTGTTTCCTTTTCGGAAAGAAATCAAATCTAAAAGAAATGTCAAAGTAATACATAGAAATGGTGGTACATATAGTAAGTATTGAATAAATAAATGATAATTAAATCATAAATCACCGTGTAATAAGAATAGATCATGTATTACCGTGTAACAAGAATAATAATATTAATATATCATGTAATAATATTGCCGTATTTAATCATTATTAATTTATTACCATGCATGTAAGTGATAATTCTTCTTAAAATTACCATACTTAGTCATTATTATCGTCTAATAATTCTAATATAAGAAGCTTTCAATTTAAAAATGTTTCGATTTAGAGAACATGGCCAAACTTAATATTACCATATTCAATCATTATTAATTTATTACGGTGTGATTATGTTAGGAAAATAAGCTTTCAATTTAATTATGTTTCCATTTAGAGATTCGGTGCCAAATATTTTATGAAGAAATTTAAATAAATAAGTTTATGCATTTAAGGAAGGAACAATTAAAAAAATCAAAATAAAAAAAATAAAAGAAATTAAATATAAAAAAATGTCAAAGTAATACATAAAAATGGTACGTGGCACATATGTTAAATGTTGAATATAGAAATAATAATTAAATCATAAATTACTTTGTAGCAAGAATAAATCATGTATTACCGTGTAGAAAAATTAATAATACTATTATACCGTCCAATAATATTAATGTATTTAATCATTATTAATTTATTATCGTGAAAGAATAATAATAATAATATACCATGTAATAATATTATCGTACTTAGTTATTATTATCGTGTAATAATTCTAACCAAATAAGCTTTCAATTTAATAATGTTTACATTTAGAAATCCAGACCCAAACGTTTTATGGAGACACCGTTTTAAGAGGTGTGCCTTTAATAAATGGAAACGTATTGAATAATATATATACCTTTATATGTTGAACAATCAATCACTAATTAATAACTTATCCGGGAAAAATTAGATGCATGGAAATAGAAAAATAATTTAATTTTTTCATACTTTAAATACAGTCATTCTCAATCACTTTTTGTAATTAGCCTCTTTCCAATTTTTTGAATGACTTACACTTTCTTGAGTTCTTAAATAAGATTCATGTTTTCGGAGTAGAAAATCATGAAGAAATCTTTAAATAAATAAATGTTTTAAAAGTTTGATTATATAAAAATTATACGAGTTTATAAAGAAGTCTTTCGTTATTTGTAAAACAATTAACTTTTGTACCTTAAAATAATAAATTCTTTATATTCTACTCCCTCCGTCCCGAAAGAAGTTCCCTTATTGACTTTTTAGAAAATTAAGGGAGAGATATTTTGGTGTTGACTTACCAAAAATACCCTTGATGTGATTGATAAAAGTAAGATGCGATAGATAGATTATTAGTAAAAAAGGTATGATGTGATAGTAGGGTATAAAAAAGTAAGGGTAAAAGTAGTTTTTTAATAGAAAAAGGAAGAAGTTTGTGAGATAAAGAAAAAATGAAAGGGGAAGATGTTCAGGGACGGAAGGAATATTAAATAAGAAATTGTATCCTTCAAAAATGATCTTAATTTAGTAATATAAGTATGACCCGTGCAACGCACGGGAGTGATGCTAGTTGTTACTAAATACAGAATACAAATTTGATTTCTTTTGCATGATTAAGTAAATACCGATATGTTCATGTAAACCCGACTTAATAATTTGCTCACAACATGTGGGAAAGTTATCACACCATTATTATAATCATATAAAGATTAGGGAAAACAGCTGAAAAGGATCCCCGTGCCACAAATAAATCTCCTGAGTGGCGAGCCGGCTCGCTAATTAATACGTCTTCTTCAGCCCAAGGAGAATGAGAACAAAGCTGAGATAATCGAATCTGTAGCCAGCCTTTAAAAGCTGCAGCTTGTGGGGATTCCACGGTGGGTATCTGAACCAAAAATCAATGAGGAAGCTCCTTTTGGCCACTGTTTTCTCATGGCTGAACGTGTCAAATGAGAACTTCCCGTGGTATCTCCCTATCCCGCTCTCCCCAACCCCACCAAATGGAAGCGTGTCTGCTGCATACTGCAAATTTGTTGTTTTTTGGGAAAAAAAATTAAAAAGATAATTAAAGGAAAACATAATCCGTAGGATGTTTATTTTAAACTAATAAAATGACTTTACAAAAATGCTAAAGCTAAAAGCTACTCAGTTTAGATACATGAGAGTTTGTTTGTTTGTCCTACTTGGATGATTGCATCGTTGAAGACCAAACTTCCTGAAGACGTCTGGGACGCCAACATGTTCATGAGTGATTCGTTGTGAGTGAAGGCGTAGATGGTCAGGGGCTTTGGTCTCGAGTTGAAAAATTCAATGCTGTCCTCTATTCTCTCCATCTGTGTGTGTGTGTTTGGGGGGGTCATAATATTAGTTAGTTTTACCAACTGCACAACGCCTACTTAATTACCACATGTATGCATTTCTAAGAATCAATGCTTACTGTTATTATGGGGAGAATTGGACCAAATATTTCTTCTGTCATGACTGCAGAATCGAGTGGAGGATCAACCACCAAAGTTGGCCCAATAAACCTGCGCAACAACCCATAGTGCATGCCATAAATTTTGTTGCAATTCGTGCCATGCCAATATTAATTGCCCACTGCACCCACGAGCAAAATATTATATCTCATTTCTTTTTTTTTCGTGGTCCAAAAATAGTACGGAGTAAAATACATTGTTTCATTTTCCCCGTTTTGTTTTTTATGGCTTACAATATTTCTTCCTTCTAAATTAATGCTTTTCACTTTGGTATAAAAATAAAAAAATAAACTTGCATAATTTAAAAGTATATCAAATTTTCTACAAAATAAAAATTGACAAGAATATTTTATTTTATTAAATACTACATCCGTCCCGTGAAACATGGGACATTTGCTTTTTAGGAGGGATTTAAGGGAGTGTATTTTGATATTGAATTTCCAAAAATGTCCTTTGATGGGATGGGTAAAAGTATGATTTGATGGATAGATTATTAGTAAAAAGGTATGATGTGATAGTTAGGGTATGAAAAAGTAAGGGGTAAAAGTAACTTTTTAATAGAAATGAGAAGTGTTTTGTGGGACGGATAAAAAAAGAAAGAGGAAATGTTTCACGGGACGGAGGTAGGAATAAATACTACCTCCGTCCCGCTATATTTGTCCAGTTTTGACTTTTGGAACTGTTCATCTAAGCACTTTGACTCATCAAATTCTCTCAATGTGTATGCCTAAATATAGTCATGTGTGATCTTGTTTGATTTGTCTTAAAATATAGATTATTAATATATAATATCTATAATTTTTAATATACAAATTACAAGATAAAATGAATTAAAGAAGTGCATTGGATGGTGTGCAAAAATGAAAGTGGACAAATATAGTGGGACGGAGGGAGTAAAAACATATAAATAGATGAAAACTACCATAGTTTTTTAATAGTGGAGAATGTAAATTATTATGAGACAAAAAAAGTTTTTTTTTCTTAATCTCTAATTCTCTATATAGAACCAAAGAAGAAAGTTTGTGGGGCGGGAGAGTGTATACGCTTCATTTCTAAAATTTGAAAACTACATTTCAAATTAGAGTGATTCTAACGGAGAAAAGTACATCGTTTACACTCAAACTCTTTGAAAATTGAATGATTTAGCCTTGGACATTAAAAAATGCAACTTTTTATCCTTAAACTCTATGAAAATTGCATGATTTAGCCATAAACATTAAAAAGTGCGCCAAATATCGCTGAACAATTTAAAACGTTGCACTGACGGGAATGCGAGTATGATTTGTCTGGCCCTTGTGAATTCTCCAAAGTACCCTTCCCCAAAGTTTTCGTTTTTAATTAAATGTTCAGGGATAAATAATGCAATTTTCGAAGATTTTGAGAATATTTGGTACACTATACTTTTTAACGTTTAAGGATAAACCGTGTAATTTTTGAAGAATTCAGAAGTATTTAGTGCATTTTTCAATGTTCAAGGGTAAACTGTGTAATTTTTGAAAAATTTACAAGTAAACGGTGCATTTTTCTCTATTCGATTAATACCCCCTTCCCAATTTTAAGATAAAAATTTGCGATCCAACTTAACTCTGTATTCAATAAATGAGAAGATTAAAAAAGAGCAAATTAAAAATGCTTGAATTGAAAGAAAGGTCAAGAGAGGGAGATATACTATATATACTCACAGATTTTCTTCATCAAGCAAGCCACCATAGACTAGGGAAGATTTGACCTGAGCCTCATCCAACAAAATTTTCAACCTCAAGAAGTGCTTCTTGTTGACTATCCTTGCAAGTGATTGCTGCATTTCTTTCTGATTTTGTCCAAACTGTTGCTTCATATATTTCTTCATAAGTTCTACCTGAAAATTAATACATACCATCCCATGACCCCATCCAATTCATTCATTCATTTATACCACAACAACCCACCAATTAAGATACATTATTTAATGATTAAATACCAGTTCATTACAAAACTTCTTTTCCACAAGAATGTAGTCAATTCCAATGCATGCCTGCCCAGAACACACCCCAAATTTGCCAGCAATAATCCGATTCAAGGCAACCTGCCGAAACATTGTTACTAATTAAGCTAAGGATTTGGACTAATTAGAGCAATATTGACACACACAGACACCGTACCCTTTATACATGTAGCAGGTGGGTCCCACCCGGGGCGGACCCACCCGTGCACGTATGAGAGACGTGGGGTGCGTGTGTCTGCATGCGCATATACGCGAATGAGTGTGACGTTATTATTTAATTACATCTTTATCCCAAGAACGGGAGAGGGAATCGACCACCGCGGGGCACTTTCCTCCCAGTTCCAATGTGACAGGAGTCAGGTGCTTCGCGGCCGCGGTCATAACGGCGCGACCTACGTGTACGCTGCCTGAAAAATCAAATTCCAAATGGAAGAGGGAAATGAATTTTGCTTTTTAAGCAATCAATATATTGTTAAGCTAATTAAAAGAAATGTTGAAATTACAAATTGGTGTAGAGTTGTATGAGTCATGGAGAGAGCATTATTTACATTTGCCCCCAACTGTAATGTTTAGCAATTCTGTTTTTAGCATAGTCTCTCTTTAGTATCTATCAGAATGGATGCAAACACTCAAAGCTAAATGACGATAATACCCTCAAATGAAGGATGAAGAAGAATACAAAAAGCAATAAAGGGAGGAAAGGGGCGGCAACATACACAAATCATATATATCATACCTGTGAAGAAAATCTTGTCCCATTTATGGTCCAACAGAACCTCAGACACCAAAGCCCCACCTTCAATGACCTTAAAGGCGTTAGGGTCTAAGTAAGCCGGGATCAACTCGGCCAGGAGGGACGAGCACGCCGGGGCTTGCTCTGATGGCTTCAGCACCCCCACACACCCCGCCGCTATTGCTCCGATCATCGGCTCCAACGATAGCCCTTCAATACAATTATTATATTCTCATTCATTCTCACTTAGCTCGAAGAAGAAGGGAAGAAAAAAAGATAAAACCAGATTTGTTTAATTTTCCCCCACGTACCAATTGGAAAGTTCCATGATGAAAAAATGAGGACTACTCCCAATGGTTCAGGGATGATCTCTGCTTTTACAGGGAACGCCGCTAACGGTAGTTTGGCCTGAAACACAACAAAAACATATTATACTCAGCTCCTATATTGGCTACTAGGACAGGACAGATAATGAAATGAAGCGGCTAATTAAGGCACCTTTATGCCGGACATCCAAGTGTTCAAGTTAGCCAAGGCGAAGTCTACGGACTTCAAGAGTGGTCCAATCTAGAGGCCGGCATGCGCGCAGGAGAAGGAAATTAAACAGAGATTAATTAGCAAGGAGAGATGGGCTAACATATATAAATATATAGAGAAGGGGAAATATGGGCGACATGATGGAGAAACAACGACGTACCTCGTCTTTGAAGGATTCAACGTGGGGTTTGCCGAGGTCTTGTTTGAGGGCAGTGACGAGGTCATGTTCCCTGTCCTGAAGAAGGCACATCAGAGCCTTCAACTGCGACCTTCTCCACGACTCCTCCCTCGTCTTCCCCGACCTGAACGTCTTCCTCACCTCTTCCAAAGTGGGCCCCACTCCTGCTCCGCCACCTTCCGCAGCCGCCCCCATTGATTCTCCTCTCCTCCTCCTTCCTTCTCTCTCTGTTACGTTTTCTTATAATTAGACTTGGAATTGTCTTCTTGAATTGCTGGGTTGCCCAACTACGTACCCGCCGGGTACTTGTATAGTTGTATGTGTTTAAATGCTCATTCAATTCAACTCACTCACTCTGCCCGGGGCTAAGGGTTGTTGGTTCATGGTTGGTTGGTTCTAGGATTACGCACATGTACATACTACAGAGTCACTGAGTGTAGTGAATGCGCAGCAATTAATTGGGGTTGTTATTTCGTGATCATTTTTGTCGTCTTTAACAAGAGCATCACTAATGGAGAATATGAAAGATGAATGAGATGATGTGGAGAGAGAAAGAACAGAAGACAGATTAGAAATGGACTTATTAAACCATGGTAGTGCCATTTACTACGGGTCTGTTTGGGAATAGCGTTAGCGATTAGCGTTAGCGTTTTGAAAAAAGGCTATCTACGCGCATCGTTTAACGTTATCGTTTTCAAAATAATCTGCACCGTTAAAATATTATCCAAAACGCTAACGCTAATCTCTAACGCTATTTCCAAACAGGCCCTACTTCTTCCTTTTTTTATCAAGAGTGAATTTCTAAGTGTCCTTTCTATTAATATGTTATTCTAAATTAGTCATCACTAAACAATAATTACCAATATGATTCTTTATCATTTAGATTTATTCTCTAAATGATTCTCTACAAAAAATGTTTATTAAATGTCAGTCAAATATAAGATTTTTCGGCATTTTCTATTATCTAGACTTAAAATATGTTTTCAAAATACTCTTTTATAATTAAATATTTCTCCAAACTGATAATTTCTAAATAATGTTTTCTCAAAATGGAGTCCATGACTCCACTCGGTGTGGATTCGTTCCTCTAGCTAGCAATATCCCACTTAAATTGAAAGGATCATTTTGAAGACTTATTTCATAGTTTAAATGATTTAAAATATTAAAATATCTTCTATTAAACTATCATTTAAAAGACATTTTTGACAGAGGAATATTTAGGGAATACACCTCGATTCAAAGGACCAAGTTCGTAATTATTATTTCTTGAGGACTACTTTACAAAAACACTTTATTAGAAAGAACCATTTTGAAAATTTACTCTTTTATCAATTAATATTAACTTTACTGCACAGATCCTTTGAAAAAAATAATTGTACAAAGTAATTTATATTCAATCCCTTGTTGTTTAATTAGACTCGTGGGTGAAGATCACGTCATCACGCCCATCATCGACTGTCACTTAGCGTCACATTAGTTTTTTCTCTTTCTTATCACTAAACACTAAAACAAGCCAAATATTTTTCTACTAAATGTAAATGTTATATAAAAGAAATAAATATTTATTAATATATAATATATACTAAATTCATATATATATATATACATATATATATATATATATATATATATAAATATATATATATATATATATATATATATATATATATATACATATATATATAGGGTTGGATCAGGTGAGAATGCACCTTAGTGAAAGAAATAAGGAATAAAATCTAGCCTTTGGATCTGATGCATCTTGCGGTTCAGATTGCATCCTACGCTCAGATTTTGAGATAGTGCATTTTCAAAGGTTTTTGGTGCATTTTGACATGATGCATTTTCAGACCATTTTGGTGCACCGAATTTTGATGCAATCCTGATCCTTACATCTCACAATCTAAAGCACCAGATTCATTCTTATTTCTTTCATAAGATTGCATTTTCACCTGAACCAATATATATATATATGTATATATATATATATATATATATATAAAATCTTAACAAGAGCAGCTTTTACACAGGGAATAAGGTCAACCATGCTAAAATAAGGTCAATGGCCAGAAGCCTAGGAATGGATCATGGGGTCCTTCCATAACTTCCATTCACTTATCTAGGTGCTACAATGGTCAAAGGCAAACTAAGAAAACAGCATTGTTCCAAACTCCTGAACCACTTTAACAAATACTTAAACACTTGATATAGCACCACATTAAAACCTATGGGGAGACTTGTGTTGATCAACATGTATTATTTGCCATACCTCTTCATATCACTGATGTCCACACTATCCCACAATCCATCATTCAGACTCTTCAAAAAAAGATGGCCAATTTACTTTGGGGATTCAAGAATGGTAAGCGAAAATACAATTGGAACAAGTGGAGCAACCTTTGTGTATCAACTAAGGAAGGAGGACTTGGCCTTAGGAGTCTAGAAGATATTAGTTCAAACTGACAACACTAAGTGGGCTAGATTCATGAGAGCCAAATACCTTAGGCAGTCAGATTTCAAGGAAAGACTTTATGACTCACCAACGTGGAGGGGAATTTGCAGAATCAACACCACTGCCATGGAACATACTACAGAGGTAGGCGACCAAATCACTTGGGGAGAGGGGGAATTTACTCTTAAAAAGGCTTACAACATATGCACTCTCTAATCCTACTCAACTCAACTACTCATGTTGTGGAATAAAGCACAAATCCCTAAGGTAAATTCTTCCTTTGGAGAGCCCTGAACTCTTATTTGCCATTCCGAGATAATCTAAAAAAAATGGGGAGACAACTAGCCTTTGTCTGCCCTCTATGCAAGAATAATGAAGAAACCATTGGCTATGTTTTCCTCCAATGTATCTGGAGCCTGAAACTCTGGCATTTCTTTGCAGAGGCAGTAGATGGTCCTGGCCCTAGAAATTCTCTAACAATAAACCAACATATCATGGAATGAAATTTATCCCACAGAAGAAGGTCACTAAAAGGTGAACGACGTAGCATTCTACCAGGGATCATCGTTTGGAATATTTGGAAGGAATACAACAGAATCATCCATGACAATAGCTCAATTGACATCAACAAGGTGAAACCAAACATTCTACAAACACTCAAAGATTGGAGGTGGAAAACCAGAAGGAAAAAACAGATGCTCAAAGATGACAATCTTGCTGATCTGGGATTCAATTTTTTCTTCTTGTCTGGGAAAGAATTGAAAGGAAGACTTACTTTGCTCCAGATTGAGACGGAGGGGACTGGTGAAAGTTGGTATAGAAGCGGCGAGGAGTAACCTTCTCCATGCTTCGAAGAGGGCAATGTACGGGAGTAGTACGGTGGATATGATGGTGGCGGTGTAGGTGTATATGATACGAATATCGTATCAAGATAGGGAAGAACTTCGAGCTTTCTTCAAGCTCCAAGAAAGGAGAGGTAAAGAGAGAAAGAAAACTTCGAGCGTTTCCGGGCTCCAAGAAAAGAGAGACGAGAGTTTAAGAGAATTCTTGATTATTGATTGATTGAATGATAATAAAACGGGATTACAATATATAGAGATGAGACGCCACACCTACATGACCTAATGGGCTTGGGCCCATAAAAAACCCTAATATATAAAATACTGATAAATAATAATAATTAACTACTAAATAATAATATAACTAATTAAAATATTCTAATTAACTATCCATATCATTCCCACCCCCTTAAAATCCACCTTGTCCTCAAGGTGGAGGCTCCCACTCATGCTTCAGGACCGGAGAAAGAATGCTGAACCAAAGGAGCAATCCATTCTTTGAATCTTCAACCATCTTTGATCTTGAAGCAAAGTGATGGAAAGATGAGACGGGGCGCAGAACATATGTAGTTGCTCTCGATGAAACCAGGTGCTCCGTCTTGACCACAACAAGCTCAAACAACTTGATGATGTCAATCAACATAGGTGAGTGTGCTTGTTTACCATCTACATCTGTCACTTTGTCAACACTTTTTGAAATTTCATCTTCTGCAATGACCACACCAGCTGAGGTAGAAAATTCCTGAAAAGTAGGATCTGGCTTGTCGACATTAGCAACATCTTCTGCAAGAGGACCTTCATTTTTGCCCACAACGTTGAACCTCCCGTCATCTTTGTTTATTGCTTCAGGTCCGATGTCCACTTCATCTCCAACTTGTGAGTCAACGCTTGATCCCTCCTTGGATGCGTGGTCCTGTGTTTCAGCGTTTTGCTCAATTATTGTAGAGACCACATTTAGCGCATATGGCGGAGTGTCAATGAGAACTTTCATAGCGCCCAACATGTTTGTTCTAAAGTTTTGTAACTCCAAAGGAATCAAACTCGGCAAAATTGGGGGCCCACGGACCAAATCCTGTACCGGACAAAAAATTTCTACCTCGAGCGCATCATAATCATTTTGACCTTTGCAATTATGGATTGACCTGAGCTTCATAATAGTTTCATATACGTGATCAAAAATCAGACACACCCCTTCATCATACTCAATATCTCCATAAAGAACATTTTCTAACAAGCCAAGGAGTCTATCTAACACGCAGTTCATAATCATAAAATTTGCCTCCATGTATTGAAAATAAATGAATCTCCCGAAATTGAAAATTGAGCAAGTGCGGCAATTAGTTGCACCCAACAAAAACCTAAAGAACCTGGAGCAAGTGCGGCAGTTCCCTTTAATTTCCCAAATCTGGGTAATGTGGTTACGACGGCGTCAAAACTCCGGAGGCTGCAAAAATCTCTAGTGGCTGCAAATCTGCAATAAATTTGTTGCTCTCTCTTTACTCGGCACATCCAAAGTTTTCTACTTTTCAGATCGGCAAAAAATTGGGCCGCTGGGACACGGCGGCTGCTACTAGATCGTCTGGATTTTTTTTTTATTTTCTTTTTGTTTGGTGTTTCTCTCAACGAGAGATTGATACGAATATCGTATCAGATTGGGAAGAACTTCGAGCGTTCTTCAAGTTCCAAGAAAGGAGAGGTAAAGAGAGAAGGAAAACTTCGAGCGTTTCCGGGCTCCAAGAAAAGAGAGACGAGAGATTAAGAAAATTCTTGATTATTGATTGATTGAATGATAATAAAACGGGATTACAATATATAGAGATGAGACGCCACACCTACATGACCTAATGGGCTTGGGCCCATAAAAAAACCCTAATATATAAAATACTGATAAATAATAATAATTAACTACTAAATAATAATATAACTAATTAAAATATTCTAATTAACTATCCATATCAGTATAGTACGATTGTGACAATAGAGGGATGTAATATGGTGAGTACAACTGGGATATTTGCCAGTTGCTGAAATTGGCGTATGATTGAAACTGTGTTGATTTAGTTAGTTTGGGTCCATTTTAGAAAACAAATATGAAAAAAATAAGAGTATAAAGAAAAAAAAGAAGAAACAAATGTAGAAAGATTGAGTATAGAGGGTTTGATGAACAATTAGATTAGAAGAAGTGTGTTGAAATGAAAAGTTATTTGTACACTAAAAATTGTACCACTTTGTATCCGGAAAGCATGCACCAACATTTTGTGTCAGTGTGATAGTTTACACTGACATAAAATGTCAGTTTAACTTTTTTTGCTTGAACTATCATTCTGTGATAGTGTGAATCACTAAAACGTCGGTGCATCATATCCCTTTAAGGTGCATCAATGGTGTGTCCCTAGCATGGAAGGAATCTTTTTAAACCACTAACGGTGACATTTGAAATTTAAAAAATTAAATTTTGAGAGTCCTCTAGCTCGGCGTGCAGATGCCGGCACACCGATTCCCGATCGAGAGGTTGAGGCAGGTATTCCCCGTCGCGATCACACATCACGTCGGCCACACCGACTCTACACCCTGTAGCCTTATTCGAAAAGAAAAGGCAAGTGGGTGTTGCACAGTTGGCAAGGTAAGAGGTGTCAAGGGGGCAAGACTCGAGTTTGATTCCTGTTAATTGTGCTGACAGGTAATTATGCTAAGCATAGGGCCTCTGCAAGTGCCAGTTGCAGAGAGTCTATGCTTTACCACGAATATACAATAAAAGTTCAATTTACTCTATCTCAGTTGTGAAGAGACCTGGAGATAGGACTCATTATTTCTTTTTGAAAAGAAAAGAGTAGCGGATAAGTACGAGGGCATCCACATCTTAGGCGAGCGAAAATGTCATCATTGACTGCGATGGTGAGCGTCGGGCGTGCGCCGGCCAACCGCCGCTTCATAATCGCCACCACTAAACCGACCGCAGCTCAAGTATCAATTAGGAAACAGCCGGAGGAGGAGCTAGGGTTTTTGACTTCAGAGCTAAGTGGTGTCAAGATTTCGAACAGCCACTGCCACCGTCCTCTTCATCTCTCTGCTCCATTTCGTCCTTGTCTACAACCCGTTGCCCGTAAAATCCACCTGCTTTATCTCGTTCATTCTTTAGCATTACACTTTTTAATGTGGATATTATTCTGTCATGAAAATTTCGAATTTATTTCAGATTTTTATTGGGATTGTGGATTTCAGCAAGAGAAAATTAGCATAATATGGTTAAATATGCACGTATTAGGATGAAGCAAAGTAATTACTCCGTATAAAATTGTTTTTTTGAATTTTGATCATTTCAGTTACTTTCTTCTTGTGGTTTAGGCATGTGCGTTATTATTCATTCAATACGACTATACCCTTACTGGGTAATTATAGGGGAGCATGTCCAGCCTTTAGTTTTTGATTGAACACTTGTAGTTTTTGATTTTACTATGTGGCCTGTTTGCAAATTGGTTTTGCATTCTGATGTACTATTCTTTTCCAACCTCAGGTTGTATGTAAGGTGTCTAAAATCAACGGAAAAACAAATGAAGTGAAAGACTATACATAGAGTTGCTGGTTGAAATATTTGCAATCAATGAGAGATATTAGACTTAGAACTTAGAAGTACCATGACTACCATCCAAAAGTTTTCGTCTCTAGCTTCTATTTTGATAATTAGACTTCATATGAATCGTATCCCAAAACCATATAAGATTTTTGTGTTTCTAGGCATACAAGTGCAAGTGGTACTACATAAATAATATCAGCAATCCCTTTCAGATTTAGCCATGAAAAAATTGCAATTCATTTTCTGCTATTCCCAGGCTTGACAAGTGATGGGTATGTGCCATGGTGTGCAATCCCATCCAGGGACTGCTCCCTGTTATCTGCATAGACTTATTAGGATGGGAGGAAGAATACTTTGTCCAACCTATGGTGACGAAAAAAAGAAAAGAATGGATCTTGTCAAGGATATGACAGACTGATATGATAATATGGAGTATTATTTTGGATGGTCTGGTCTTACTAGAGAAAGGTAATTGAATTCTAATTAGATACACTATTTTTTTTTGAGTGCATATAAGTCGTTGCCTGGTCCACGACTAGTCGTCGGGGTAGTTTCATCAGCACAACTTCTCAGTCGTGTGGTACCTGAGTGAAGACAAAGTGTCCGGTCATGCAAATCGACGCCTAGGCGTCGCCTAGTCTTTGTTTGTAACCCTACCGAATTTTACCCGACCCGCCTTGCCCCAAATTTCATTAAAGCTTAAGAAGCAGTCAAAGCTATATAAAAAACACCTCCTTGATGAAACTAGCACATCCCAAGTCGCGACTCATGGATTTGCCAACCCTTCTTTTCTTCTATACGCTCCTTCCATCTTTGATTGATTTTTCTCATAATGTTGGATGATGATATTTGGTAACTTAAAATATGGAATTAGATATTTTAATATTTACTCTTCGTTATGTGAGTTTATGTGCTACCTTTAAACATAATTTTGTTACGGTAATGATTTTTCATCTTATAAATATATACTTCAGATATAGTTATCTTTGGTGAATGGTGATATATATGGAGTATAATTTTAAAAATTCCATTACTAATTGTGATTTGTCGACTAGTCAACAACTTGTAGGCCAACTAGTCGGCTAGTCCACTAGTCCATTGTGACCTCTAAATCTTTGTAAAAGATGCTAGTTGGCAATCCATGTACTGTCATCTCAATAAAATATCATTCTTCCAGGATGGGTAATGGAAGAAATCAGGTTTGCTGCATCTGTAGACAGTTGAATTTTTATTTGAAGTAATATATATTGAGTAACCAATTAACCATGCCTAATATGATCCAATTGCATTATGGTTTGTTGTACAAAAGAGTTGTGGATAATGAAACTAATGAATTGTGTGTGTTTTCAGGCAGAGTGTGTCCCTTATTGGGTAAGAAGGCGAACAGGGCAAATAAGGTTTCGCATTCCAACCACAAGACAAAACGGTTGCAATTTGTGAACCTTCAGTACAAAAAGATTTGGTGGGAATCTGGGAAACGCTTTGTCAAACTGCGCTTGTCAACAAAGGCTCTAAAGACGATAGAGAAGAACGGACTTGATGCTGTTGCTAAGAAGGCTGGAATCGACCTTAGCAAAGAGTAGGAATGGTTGTAATCTCATGTTTTGCTTTTGATGATATATATATGCTGTTGGGATAAATTGGTATCTGTAGCTTATGTAATGCAGTCATGTCTGCTTCCTTGATCACAAGAAATTACAAATCACATCTCACTTTTTGGTATGTTTCATCTGATGTACCATTCAATAGTTAGTCTTTTTTTGTGAAAAATTAAAATATCGGTACAAACTCATTGAGGCTCCGTTTGGTAATCATATTTTCATTTAAATAAGCGGATTTTATGTCTAAAATTTAAAATTTGAAACTCGACATAAAAAAATTGATGTTTGAAAAACACTGGAATTTTAATTTTTGGGATTTCAAATTCATACTGTATTTTGCTTGGTATTGAGAAACTTGACAATTGTATTATTCACAGAATATGGGGGATACACATGTATATAAATAGAGTAGGATTCCTAGCACAATAAGGAATCATAATAATGACAGCTTCCTAAAATACAATATTTCTATGAATAATATATGTATATATTATAACTGTCTAACATCCCCCCTCAAGCTGAACTCCGTGTGACGAGTGGAAGCTTGGACATGAGACTCTGAAACTGCGGTGAAGGTAAGGCTTTAGTTAGCAAATCAGCCAATTGATCTTCAGAGAAGACATGTGACACACCCATGGTTCCAGCGATGACCTGTTCCCGAACAAAATGACAATCAGTCCCAACATGCTTCATACGCTTGTGGAAAACTGGATTCTTGGTGAGGCATATCGCCGACTGGTTGTCACAGAATAGGTGCGGAGGAGGAGTGGACACACGCAGGTCAGTCAGAATGTAGGTTAACCACATAACCTCAGATGCCGCAGCAGACAGCGCTCGATATTCGGCTTCAGTAGAGGACTTGGACACTCGAGTCTGTTTTTCTGTACTCCACGAAATCAAGTTGGGTCCAAGATAGACTAGATATCCTGTAATGGAACGCCCATCAATCATGTCGTTTGCCCAGTCTGAATCGGAATAAGCACGTAGCTGAAGATCACCAGCCTGGAACACAAGCCCACGATCAAGTGCGCCTATTACAAAGCGAAGAATCCGTTTCAAACTCTGAAAGTCATTTTCCGTGGGAGCATGCATCCTTTAGCAAACGTAATTAACTGCAAACTGAATATCAGGACGAGTAGTAGTGAGATACTGAAGACCACCAACAAGACTCCGGAACAAAGTGGGGTAGGGTTAATGGGAGAGTTATTAACCGAGGGTGTATATAGGGGGTTAGAGAAGCGTGTTGGAGTCAACATGGTGGTGGGAATCGGCTGGGAGGTGTGCGGCTGGACTGTGTCTAGTTGGGTTGAGTTCGAGGAGGAGCTAGGAGACGAGGCCACGTGAGCAGGCGTAGACACCAAAGATTCCGGGAAAATGGGAAGGACACCAAAGTAGGATGACCCAGAAGATGATGGAGAGGAGACCTGATATGGAAAGACAGACTCTTGAAACTGAACATGACGAGAAATATAGACACGATTTGTGGAAGGGTCATAACAGCGATAACCCTTGGACAATGACTCATATCCTAGAAAGACACAACGCTTGGAACGCGGTTGTAATTTATGGTCCATCTCATGACGAAGGTGAGGATAAACAAAACAACCAAATACCCGAAGATGAGAGTAGTCAGGAGGCGTGTGATATAGAACTTCAAACGGAGACCTATATCTGAGGGAGCGCTTGGGCATACGATTAATAAAATAATTAGCTGTAGCCAAAGCCTCCACCCAGAATGTGGCGGGAAGAGAAGATGTGAAGAGAAGAGTGAGAAGTGTTTCAACGAGATGTCTATGCTTGCGCTCAGCTACCCCATTCTGTTCAGGTGTATAGGGACAGGTCTTATGATGGAGAACCCCCAACTGTTGTAGAAAACTACCAAATTGATGATTAACATATTCTCGACCATTATCTGTGCGAAAAATTTTAATGGTTTTACCAAATTGATTTTGAACCATAGATTGAAAACTTTGAAAAACACCAAAGGCCTCAGATTTATGTTTTAAAGGATAAAGCCAACAATATTTAGTATAATCATCCACAAAATTAATGTAAAAATGATAACCACCAATGGAGGAAACAGAAGTAGGACCCCAAACATCAGAATGAATTAATTGAAAAGGTTCAGTCGTTACAGTTGCAGATAAAGAAAAGGGTAACTTATGCGACTTTGACATAGAACAAGACTCACAATGAAACAAATCTGACTCTTGACGCACACCTAACTTAGAGAGCAAAGACTTTGTAACTTGAAGTGAGGGATGACCAAGCCGACAGTGCCACTGATGGGATGTTGTTGTCACAGCATTAGCCACCGGTGGAGCCGCGGCTGACGAACACGACGGAGACGGACACGAACGTGGCGTAACCGGAAGGGTGTATAGACCACGCTCACATGGGCCTCTGTATATCACTTGATGGGAAGAGTTGTCCAGGATCAGGAATTCCTTAGAAGTGAAGAGAATAGAACAGTTGTTGTCAGTGGTGAATTTATGAACAGATAGAAGATGGGTATTTAAGGTAGGGACATGGAGTAGGTTAGATATAGTAAAGGTACCTGTGGGTGTGGTAACCTGACCTGAGCCAATGTGAGTAATTGGAAGAGACTGTCCCCCAGCTGTGGAGACAAAATTGGTGCCTTGGTATGAATTAGGTGTCTACAGTCGTGAGAAATCAGAAGTCACATGAGCCGTTGCCCCAGAATCTAAGTGCCAATTCGAACCAGGATCAGTAGAGTATGCAGTATAAAGCGCTGCCTGAGGAGTGTTATTAGCCTGAGATGAGCTAGAGAAATCCTCGTTAAACCGATTCCAGCACCGTAGGGCAGTGTGATTAAATTTGCCACAGATTTGACACACCACCGAACCATCGTTAGCCTGCCCTCTCCCTCGGCCTCCGGTGCGGTTAGACTGGAACCGGCCGCCGTTGCGACCGCCGCCTCTGCCGCTGCCAAATCTGCCACGGCCACGCCCCCGGGCCGGGAAAGAACCTCCATGGGATGCATAAAGGGCAGTGTGAACCTTTGTGGAAGGACTCGACGACGTACCAAGCTGAAGTTTTTGTTCAAGTTGAAGATTGAGTTCTTCAGATAGTAGCCAAGCTGAGACAGTATTAAGATCAACCGTAGCAATATTCGTCCGAATATTTTGTTTAAGAGAAGCGTATGTTGACGGAAGACCACGCAAGACACAGAGGATAACATCTTGTTCCGCAACAGGCTCACGAGCAAGGGCAAGAGAATTAACAATGTGTAAAACCTCATCAAGATATTTCTGCATGCTAGACTGTCCCTTTTGAAGATTATGAAGTTGTTCCTTGAGTTGAAATATATGAGTCCGAGACAGTGAATTATACCTCTGATGGAGATGACTCCAAATTTTACCAGCAGTGTTGCAGTGATACACAAGGTTCTGAATAGCCGGGGAGAGAAGGGCGAGAAGAGAGGCACGAAGTTGAGCATCAATCACGGTCCAACAATCATAAGCTGGATTTGCTTTCATCACAAGCCCCTTGTCGGTGGCGGCCTTTTCGTCCAGTATGGTTGGTGGTGGTGCAGCTTCGGAGCCGTCTACATACCCTAGAAGCCGGTGAGCAAGAAGAGTTGCCTTAACTGTAGACGACCATGACGGGAAATTATTGTCTTCAAGCTTTGTGGGAACAAGAGAATGAAGATTTCGTAGGAAAAGCTTTAAGCCACTGGGTAGATTGTCGAAGGGATCAGCGTTCTTCGCCATGGTGATCCGGTTGCAGTAGGTCAATCGTGCGCTGAGTGGATGTGCGCTAGATGGACATCAACGGCTGCTGCTGGCGAAGAGAAGAAAAGAGACGAGATAGGAGGAAACTGTCGTGCGGCGGCGCACGATCGGATGAGAAAGAGAAAAGGCGGACTAGGGTTGAGAAACCTAGAGCTCCGATACCATATTGAGAAACTTGACAATTGTATTATTCACAGAATATGGGGGATACACATGTATATAAATAGAGTAGGATTCCTAGCACAATAAGGAATCATAATAATGACAGCTTCCTAAAATACAATATTTCTATGAATAATATATGTATATATTATAACTGTCTAACACTTGGTAGTCGTAGGAATACATGTTTGAAATTTAATTTCATCTTGATACTACCAAATAATGATGATTCTTATTCACAGAAACTACGAGTGCAAACATCTCAATGAAGCATAGGCAGTTTGAGAAATCACAAGTTCTTCTAATACGGAATACAAATTTGAAAATCCAATGTAGTCTTAAAAATGATATCTTTTTCACCTTGACATTTGTCACAAGTTCTTCTACTACGTACGGTTTCCAAGCATCTCCACAACACTTTGACATTTGTCACCGGTACGCTTATGATCTCTTTTTCACCTTGTCACCGAAGAAGTTGAAACCTCATGATGCATAATTGTATTATTTTAAAAAGTTACAGAGTATATAAAAACTTTAGTAATTTCAAAAACAACATTGTATTATATATAGATTTTAAAACCATCCACCATTTATTTCATTTTATTACTTCTCAAAAAATTACTCTATCCGTCTGCCATTATATTAATCTTTCCAAATGCTCTTTTTTGTTTGTCCAAAAAAATATCTTCTCATTATCAAGAAAAATCTTCTTATTACCTTTTTTAACATTTCAGATCTTTTCATTCAATATGCTCTATATCCACTTTCATTAAGGATCTTTTAGTAATCTTCTACTTTTTTCAGCTCTTCATAAGAACTACAAGAAGTCAATTTAGGAAGATTTATGACGGAGAAATGAAAGTAGTATATCAAAAAAAGTCAAATATATAATTCTTTAAAGTTAAATAAATATTTTCTAAAACTACTCAACATATTTAATACTCCCTCCGTCCCTGAGTATTTGTCCACTTTTGACTTTTTTGATCAAAATTGGTAAACTTTGACTTCAAATTTAATAAAAATGATATTAGAAAAAAGAGTTTTATTGGATTTATTATATCAAATATTTTCAAAATATTATTTTATTAATTAAAATAGAATGTACATTTTATTTAATTATAGGTCAAAGATTGAAAACAATTTACCGAAAAAAGTCAAAACGGGACAAATACTCAGGGACGGATCGGAGGTAGTATTTGTTAACAAATATTTATATGATTTTAATAAGTGTACATCATTATTAAACAGCTTTTAATCTTTTATGTGATTTTTTATTGTCTCCAATGTAGCATTATGATTATTAATATTGATATTTATGCATAGATAAAAATTTAATATATCAAACTACGTTTCAAAATAAATTATTAGGATTACATTTATATCTGAGTATAATGTATTTTTTTGCATATCGATGTCAAAAGTTTACTAACTTTGACAAAAAATGACAAATTGTAAGATGAAATCTGGTATGAGGAAAATACTTATTAGACAATTTTATCAAAATCTTAAAAAAATGTTCATGCATATGTGTCCATATAAGGCTTAGCAAAATATTGGATTGAAAATGGTGTCGAAAATTAAAAATAGTGAAATGGAATTAGTTTATGGAGTGAGTTAAGTTGTTTGGTGAGGTGTGACTATCACCCAAAGTTGAATCATCTTTGCTTGATCTTGTTTCAACATCCACTGTACGTGATTAAACCCACCAAATAATCCAATAAGGACGTCGGAAGAATTAACAATGAAAATGAAATTATATAAACAAAGAGGTTCGAAGAACAAGATGATGAGCATGGAAGCATATATTGTGTATTGCCTTGCTTTACTCCGGATTCAATGTGGCAAATGCCCCAAGCCGAATCCTATATTGGTGACGGCTGTGTTGACACAGAGCAGCGATTAAAGCGTCAATGCGCTTATCAAGAAATGCTTTGATCTGGCAGGATCTCCTCAACACGAGGCTTGTGGTGAAACCATCAAGGCTTCGCCTCTGGCCCACACCGAGGTCCGAGGGGACGAGCACAAGCTCTTTGGCGAGGGTTGACCGTGATTGACTTGTCACGTACTTCTTGGGCTAATGAACTTGGGCGTCACTTCTTGGGTGTGGTCCGAGGTAGGTTACGAAGGTACTTACTCCACCATAAGCCTCCTCCCACTCCTCGAGCCTTGAGGAACTTGATACGGACTGATTTCATTGTCTCACACCGGTTAAATGGGGGACTTGGTAATAGATCTATATAGCCAATGGTTCTCTCACCTTAACAGCTAGCATTTAGGGTGTGGATCTCCCTTGTGATGTAACAGTGGTACCAAAACAGGGAAAAGTCCCCTGCTTTCGTCACTATTCTTATATTAGAGGTGGATAAGTCTGCCGTTATTTTTATTCTATTTTTTTTAAATAAATCTTTGATGTTTTTAAACCGCCCTTTTTCATTTTAATTATTCTCCTATATATATCTGCCTATTTTATTTCAATTAGTTGCGACATTAGCAACGGAAAAAATCCCCCTATTTAAAATTTCAAATGGAGGGAGAATAGTCCCCCCACTAAGTCGCCGCTAATTAGCGGGGGAATCATCCACGTCTAAATATCCACACCTAATAGGCGAAATTCTAGTAGTGATGGTGGGGTAGTAAAGCTTGCATTTTGTTCCAGCTCTGTCTTTTGAACAACATAGCTGAAGTAAATGTGGGAAATTATTTCGCCTTCTTTTGCAAAATGTGTTTCCGTACATTTTAGGCCATTTTTGGAAACTATCATATCATAAAAATCTTGTGAGCCAACCAATTTTTTTACCATTTGGCATGTATCTACGTTCAATAAAACAAGAGAAAGGGTCCTAACTCCCTTATTTTATTTTCTTTTTCTTTAGTTAGAGAGAGTTAAGGGCGAGAGAGGAGAGAGATCTAGGGTTTCTCTCAGCTTGAAAAGTGGGAGAAGTGTGATAATATATCGTGATTAGATATCGAGCCTACTGGTTGAGGGGTTCAAAAATTCATATTTCCTTTACTACCCCAGGTCTAGAATTCATTACTAGTCCAAAAAACAATTTAATGAATTTATGATAATCGTGACTAAAGTTGGACTTGGTTAAAATGACACCCACTTAGAGTGTGAAATTATGATACTCATAACTCACCCTAATTGGAGGCAAGGAAAGGTAAGAAGTTAAGAACCACTAGTTTTTCAAACAAAATACTTTAGGGTCCGAATTTAGACGAATGTCATAAAATGACACCATGTGTTGGTGTCACTTTAAATGAAGCCATTAAAGTTTAAAAAAGTTCGACAAGTGAATTTATTTGTGAGATAGACATGGTCGCTAGAATTATTTAAAACGGATAGTTGGAATTATTCTGGAAAAAAAAAATCTTTTTAAAAATGCATGAGACCCAATCATATACTCCGTACTATGAACTAGAGCAGCAATATTCAAACTTAATTCCATTTTATCACAAACAAATTCTTGCATATGATGGAAAGGAATCCTTAATCTTGAGAAATTCACTAAAAGGAAGGGCCATGGAATTAAAAGCATTATCACACGGCTGCAGAAGAGGCTCCAAAGAATCCCTTCTCCTTCAAACTTTCAACAGTTTCCTTGAGGCTTTCTTCCAGGGGAGTAAATACGACCCCCAAGTTTTTGGCCCTTTCTTTTGACACCTGGTAAAGAGGCACAAATGGCTTGTCGTCCGCACATCTGCGAGTTTGTCAAAGGAAAAAAAATGCTTAATTGTGTAAATCACTAGCTAGGCGCCCAAAAAAGGGCACAAGCGACCTGCATTTAATATATAATAAATCCAATTTTAGAAATAAATGCTCCCTCCGTCCCTTAAATAAAGTTTTGGTTGCCTGGTTGGCCCCTCGCTAAAGGAAAGGCAAACTTTTAAATTTTGCACAAAGAAGAATTTCTTTTCCCCTTTTGGCTTACTACTAAGGGCATCCAACATTTTGCCTGCGCCAATTTTTACAATACTGCATCTATGATCAATCATTTGGAAACTAAGCACCTTCTAATTCAAGTAATAATACTTGAAGGGGAACTTACTTCTCCGGGAGTCTAAGAGTTGGATAAAGCTGAAGTAATTTTTTCACAATCTCTGAGTAGTGTGCAACTTGCTCAACCAAACAGTATCTTCCTTCAGCTGAAGGATTCTCAAGGGCTAGAATATGTGCATTGGCAACATCTTTGACATTGACCCATCCAAATGAAAGATTGGGATACGTCTCTGCACCTGCATTGAAGTAAACTCGATATGGCAAGTAGCATTTCAGAAAAAAAAGAAAAAACACACTTCAGTATCTGAACGTTTTTTGATAGGGCATGATCATCCCAAATGTCTGATTTATTCTTATAAACATATCCACTATATCTTTGAAGAATTGCACTGGTAACTTGCATATTCTCATCGACCATGTTTTCAAGACTCAGTTGAAAAAAGAAAGGAAGAATAAAGATAACAATGCTATACAGAAAGGTCAGGACATACCATTTATCAAATTCAAGATTGCAGCAGAACTTGTATTCAATGTTGGCTGCAAAAGGGGACCGATAACCATTGCTGGGTTTATCGTTACCATATCAATACCTTTCTGCTTCACAAATTCCCAAGCAGCCTTCTCAGCCAATGTTTTTGAAAGAACATACCACATCTGGTAACAAAAATTAAACAATGAAAAAAGGAAAACAAAAATTGAAAGAGTACGACCAGCGTTCACAGTTTTCAAATAAAACAATGAAAGAAGATAGAACTAACAGTCCTGTGTTTCACCCATTACAGCTAAAAAATAACTTCAGCACTACTTTATTAATTATCCAATGATTAAGCTGCTGTTGCATTAGAACAAGCTCTGCTAAAAAACAACGGAGCTTAATTAGCCACTTGTGACCCAACCTTCCTTATTAGAGTGTTTAAAAAGATATCTCATTTACCTCCATTTCTTTGCAGAAATCTGGACAGGACCACCAGGTCTCATCAACTACAACCTCAGGAGTCCGTGGCTTTCCATTGTAAGAAACAGCAGCAATAGAAGAGGTCAAAACTACTCTCCGGACAGTTGGTGTTTTTGCACATGAACCAAGAACGTTGAGTGTCCCTTTCACAGCTGGA